AGGGGGTCAAATATAAGGGGTTGGGGGGAGGGTGAAGTGCGTAAAGGAGATCAAATATATGGTAGCTGAAGGAAACTGGATTTTGGGTGGTAATCACACAATAGAATATATAGATGTCAAATTATAATGTACACCTGAAAATTGTATAATTGTAAATGTTACCCCAATAAACTTAATAAAAATAATTTTTTAAAAAAAGTATTTTTATTCAAAAAGCCTTAGGATATTGAAAGTTGGTATTTTTTTTTTAAAGCTTCAGGATATTCGAAAATGATATTTTGTTTTACTGTTTGCTTTTTTGCATTTTTTACATTTAAAAATGAATATGGAACACATGAAAATAATTAATAAGATGAAAAACATTGTGAGGAAAAGGCAAGTGTTAAAAGTTTCTTAACATAAGGAGAAAACATGAATGAGTTCCTGACTTTAAGTAAAGTATAATGATGGCTAAAAGTCCTACCATTCATTGTCTCTGTCTCAAGAGGATCAAACAAGGACAGTTGTTAAGTCACATTCAGGACTTTAGTTTTTTATTAGGAAGAATCTCTTTACTGTGAAAGTGATTAATCAGTGGAACAGGATGCCCGAGAAGTATTGGGGAATCTCAGAGACCTTCAAAGTATACTTGACAGTCATCCCTGTTGCCCAGGGTTGGCAAAAAGGTATATAGTGTCAGAATGTTTTTTCAGGTGTACCCTGTTTAGGTTTATTGCTCAGGTGTAAGTAGCTGTGATTAAATAGAAAGCATCCTAATTTATTCTCTCAGGATGATTTTTATTATTTAAAATACCCTATAATGTTCCATTATATTTTCTTTCATTTCCTTTGCTAGGCTAACTCACCTATCTTTCTGTCTAAACTCTGGGACAAAGTTAGAAAAACACAGTTGATTCAAAAAGAGAAACTAAGTGACAGAGTATTTTTGGAAACTAAAAAACTAAATGCTAGTTCAGTTTAGAGATTTTTGTACTTTGTAGTTTCAGCTATATCCTTATTCTTTATTCTTAAAAATCAGAGTGTGTGTATATGTAAGTAACACCATTAACATTCTTGTCCTTTTTTTTACTTATTTACAAGTCTATCTTTTCTACTGGTCTGTTCTCCTTGAGAGTAGGGTAAGTATATTTTATTTTAATGTCCCTTGTTCAACGACAGTATTCCTTGACACATTATTTCTCATATAGGTACACATTAAATGTTTATTATACCAAAGGATAGTGTTGTTAATACCCAAATCCTGTAGCATCTTTATTTGGGTTGCCAGTTTTCTTTAAAGACATGTTAACCTCCTCAACAAAATGTACTCAAATATTGAGTTATTCTCTTCTTCATTCATCTTACTTTGGAGTTTCTTTGATATTCTCTTTCTATAACCCCAAATTTAAAGCCCCAAGTTAAAAAGAATTGAACCACATAAAGAGAAATGTTTTTCAAGGAAGAAAAATAACTAAGAATTAAAGATGGTCATCATAGGAGTGGGAAGTAAGGTTTTTTTTTTTTTACTAAGGTTGTGCTATATATAAAAGAAAGTTATGCAAGAAAACTAAAACACGTGAGGAGAACATAGAAACACAAAAATAAGTTTGATGGGATCTGCTTAATTTGGATGATAATAAATGAAAAATAGTCCAGTAACCATTTAAAAATGCTTAAACACCAAATACAAAAATCTTTATTTGAGGTGCAGATTGTTTAAAACATGTCTTGTATATATCCATAATACACATACATATAATATAAAAAATATACATGCTATGTACAGGTATATTCTGATATTCTGTGTGCTTTTTATCTTTCTAATACAGATATGAGTATCATTGGGCAGATGGAACAAACATAAAGAAGCCTATTAAGTGCTCTGCGCCAAAGTATATTGATTACCTGATGACATGGGTTCAGGACCAGTTGGATGATGAGACATTATTCCCATCGAAAATTGGTATAATTGTTTTGTATAATTGATCCATCATGACTTATTTCTAGAACTTATTGACTCTATTCCAGGAACCATACTTAGATTACCATACCTATCAAATATCCTTAATCCTGTACATTTAAAAGTGTTCTCTCCTTTTCATACCAATTTATTGTGAACATTAAGGTAACCACCCTACAATTTTAAACAATAAGATCAGTGTATTTGGACAATAAAAAAATCTGACCTGTGTTATGGAAAAAGGAGACTGGATATTGGGTAGGCACCTAATATCATCTGCAATAGTCATGTCCATTTCTTGTTTAGGGAAGGAGTTTATGACTCACAAGGTGAATCTTACAGACTATGAAATCTAGCTAGGTGAGAAGAAAAGATTTGAGAAGTTGGTCTGTTATCAACCAAGTGACTTTTGCTTTTTTCTATTTGCTCTTAAGGGCTTGTTTTTCAAGTAGAAATTGTTTACATCTAGATAGTTCATATGATTTTACCTTTTCAAACTTCTTACAACTATGTTTTCTGAAAAAATTAAGAATTTGCTATTCGAACAGTAAACTTTTTGACTGTATTTTATACTTATAGTTTTTGGAGGAAGGGTATGGTGGAAGAGACAGTAATGTAAATAGTTATTATTATGGATTGCTTTAAATACATTTGTTGAATGCTTTCCTTACGTTGAAATGTTTATAATAAAAGGTCTGTTTTCAAGACTGCTCTACTTACATACATCATAATGGTTTTGGGTAAGTGCCCTAACCTTATTTTTTTTATCTCCTATAAATACATTTTTTAACTTTTTATTTTGACCTAATTTTAGACTTTTGGAAAATTTGCAAGAATTGTGCAAAGAATCCATTTATGCCCTTCTTCCTTAGTTGCCAATATTTTACCTCTTTTGCTTTCTCTCTCCTTTCCCTCCACCACATTCTTTCTTTTTCTTGTAGCTTTTTGAGAATAAGTTGCATATATATGCCTCTTTATCCATATGTACTTCAATGAGTATTTCCTTAGAAAATCACAGTATAACTATCAAAATCAGGACATTAACACCAATACAATACTATTGTCTAATTTACAGATCTTATTCAGATTTTTCAAATTTTCCCAATAATATCCTTTATAGCAAAAGAAAAAATTTTTAACATTTCCTTTCAGTTGTTGTGTCTCAGCCTTCTTTAATGGGGAATTGTATACTTCAGTCTTTTTTAGACTTTTATGACTGATATTTTTGAAGAATGTAGGCCTACTCTTTTATATAGTATCTCTTCATTTTGGTTTGTCTTATGTTTCCTTGTGACCTATAATATTTTTAAATGAGCGGTAGGTAATGTGATTACATTGAACCCACTAGTACCAGTATTTGCCTTGTGTTTTGCCAATCTGGATTATTTAACAAGTGTAACAAAGTATATGGAATTTTGTGTTATTCTAGTTTTGTATTTGTTCAATGCTGTAAAATGCTATAATTCATAACAGTGAGCCTAAGTAAGCAGAGTCTGCAACTATTTTTAGGATAAATGTAGACCTGGAGTAGTTATGAAATAATACCCACAGACAAAAATTTTAAAATATACTGGAAGCATTTTAAACAAAAATGAACATGCTTATTAATACATTATTTGTGTTTAGCAGATATTCATATTGAGATGTGATGTTATCAAATCTGAGGATCTGAGTTAGTTTTAGTTCTATTGCCATCTTAGGCATTTATTTGTTTCAATTTAGTAAAGTAGTGGTATATTAGAGGCCCAGAGAGCTGCACTGAAGACTAGTTCTTATTCCACAGGAGCTTATTTTCATTTATGATATGTTGAGAACTTCTGAAAAGTACAGTGGGTATACTAAGTAATAATTCATAAATACTACTTTTCAGCCTTGTCTTGGTAATTTATGTTGCCATTTGCTGACAAATTCAGCTACCTTCTTCTTGTCTCTTGTTATTAATAGATAATAGTTGTTTATCTGTTTACTAGGTGTCCCATTCCCGAAGAACTTCATGTCTGTGGCAAAAACTATACTCAAACGCCTCTTTAGGGTTTATGCTCACATTTATCATCAGCATTTTGACCCTGTGATCCAGCTTCAGGAGGAAGCACATCTAAATACATCTTTCAAGCACTTTATCTTTTTTGTCCAGGTAAGTTGGATTAGGAGGTCTTTTTTTTGTTCAGTGGAAACAATTATCTACAGTGTTTGAGGTGACTACTACCGTCAGAATAAAATTTGCCATCTCTCTCCAGTCTTCATCCTCTTCTTTACTTCCATGATGATAAGGACTGGCCTTTTATTTCTGAATTCCATTCATCTCTAAGCTAGTGGCTTGCAAGCCTAAAATGGATCTGAGAAGTGTTGCTGTGGATCTGCTTTAGTTAACATGCTATTGTGGAACCTGACTAGTTTGGCAGAACTACAGTTGAACTTGGTCTCTTAAGTTTTTAGCACTCTTCCTATTCCTCTTAACCCTCAATTCCTGTCTGCCTTGGAACTTTTTGAGCATACTCTACCCTGGCAGTCGGCTTTAAATATCACACCTCTTTTCTTTTTTTTAAAAACCATTCTGAATAATTTTTAAGTTAGGTACTGTCCATTATGTCCAAAGGGAAAAAGAATGTCTCAAAGAGTGTTGCTATTCCAGAGGTCCATTAGTCTTTGATCTCCTTAGTTAACCTCTTTCTTGTTTCTTTAGAGAAATGGCCTTAGAAACAAGATTAAGAGGAGTGAAGATATTTTCACCCTGCGATAGTAATTAGAGAACTAACAGCTAGGAGTTAAAAACTGGGTGGAAAAGATAAGCTGACCAACTTTTTTTTTTTTTCCTGGTGGAGATTGAGAGTGGAAATGGTTGCAGGAGAAGTTGAAGGCTTGAATCTGAGTTTTTGTATATCTATCGACATAAACCTATAAATGCCTTCCCCATGCCCCATCTCCACTAAAGAAAAATGTGTCATGTTTCCCTCTATACACACTCCTCACAAGGAGCACTTAGGTTGCTTCCATATCTTGCCTATTGTAAATGAATGCTGCATTGAACATAGGGATGCCTATATCTTCTCTTCACCTTTTTTACCCAGGCCTCCAACGCCTCTCCCATCTGGTAACCTTTAGCTTGTTCTCTCTATCTATGAATCTGATTCTGTTTTGTTTGTTCATTTATTTTGTTCTTTAGAGTCCACATTGTAAGTGAAATCATATGGTATTTGTCTTTCTCTGTCTGATTTATTTCACTTAGCATGATACTCTTTAGGTTCATCCATGTCGTCGCAAATGGTAAGGTTTCATTCCTTTTTATGGCCGAGTAATATGCATATACATGTACCACATCTTCTTTATCCATTCATCTGTTAATGAGCACTTAGGTTGCTTCCATATCTTGCCTATTGTAAATGAATGCTGCATTGAACATAGGGATGCCTATATCTTTTCGAATTAGTGTTTTGAATTTCTTCGGATAAATACTCTAAAGAGGAATTGCTGGGTCATAAGGTAATTCTATTTTTAATGAGGAACCTCCATATTGTTCCCAAAGTTGGTGCACCAATTTGCAATCCCACCAGCAATTCACGAGGGTTCTCTTTTCTCCACATCCTTGCCAACATTTGTTATTTATTGATTTATTGATGATAGCCATTCTGACAGGTGTGAGGTGATACCGCATTGTGGTTTTCATTTGCATTTCTCTGATGATTAGTGATGTTGAGCATCTTTTCATATGTCTATTGGCCATCTGTGTGTCCTCTTTGGAGAAATGCCTTTTTGAGTCCTCTACCCATTTTTTAATTGGATTGTTTATATTTTTTAGTGGTAAGTTGCATGAGTTCTTTATAGTTTTTTTTTTTTTTTTTTTTTTTGGATATTAACGTGCCCTGTATCAGATGTATCATTAGCAAATATCTTTGATGTAGTCCCATTTTATTTTTTCTTTTGTTTCCCTTGCCGGACAAGATATATCCAAAAAAGAATATTACTATGAGCTGTGTCAGAAAGTTTACTGCCTATGTTTTATTTGAGTTTTATGGTTTCAGGTTTTACATTTAAGTCTTTAATACATTTTGAGTTTATTATTGTATATGATGTAAGAAGGTGGCCTAGTTTCATTTTTTTGCATGTTATTTGTCCAGTTTTCCCAAAACCATTTATTGAAGAGATTGTCTTTTACCCCTTTGTATATTCTTGCCTCCTTTGTCATAGATTAATTGATCGTATAGACATGGGTTTATTTCTGGGCTCTCTTTCCTGTTTCATTAATCTGTGTGTCTGTTTTTATACCAGTATCATGGCATTTTGAGTATTATAACCTTTAGTATGTTATTTCATCTATGGACACCCATGGAAACAATGTTATCTCAAAGTTTGCATCTGTGCTTTGGCTTAGGCAGACATGATTACTGAAGTTCAGGTATTAGTGATTTGGGAGAGGATAGTTTCCCACCAGAAGGGTTAGTTTTACATTATTGTATAGTCTTAAAATACACTGTCTCTTCCCACTCCTAGCAAATAGCAAATATCACATCTGAGCCTATTTATATCTCAGGACACTGTGACCTTATTGAAGGTAGGTCCATTAGTTATACAGTATCAGTCCTTGATTAAGAGAGGGCTCTATCCTTGGACTCACAGTTTAGGGAATGCTGCTCTGGCCCTTCTCCAGCTGTACCCCTCTCCACGGAGTGAGGAATCTACAGGGCCAACAACATACCTACCCAGATCCTTTGATGTGCTTCTACCCCAGATCAGATTGGTTTGCTGAGGGTTAGAGACTAGCTCTCCTCATGTCACTACTTTCCAGTGCAGAATTCTGAGGAGCCTCGAGAACTCTAAATTTGAATCTGTGCTTCTGGTCATTATGAAGGTATATTTTTCAAAGTTGAAAAACAGAACATGTTTAACGATATATTAGCTTAATGTTAAATTTAATAATTTAGTCATATGATATATATCCATTTGTCTTCTTAGTCCAGACCCCACAAATATAAGGGGTAGGCTTGCTATTAAATGCCCTCTAATGCTTCTTCCCAGTACTTACTGCAGAACTTGGAACATGATAGATGATAATAAATGAATGAAATTGGGAGTTCAGAATGTCCCACCATGGCAGAAGACCAGAAAATCAGAAGTATTAACAGCCTTTATTTATTAACCTTATAATTTGTAGTTCAGGGGAAATCTATTCAGGCTTGAATTCAGAATGATAGGGGTAGAACTTCTGAAGAAGCACAAATTAAATCCAGATTTTCTTTCTTTTCCTTTTTTTTTAGGTGAGGCAACCCTTGGTTGACCTCACAGATTGTAAGGACCTTGTCAGCTTACAATCCCTTACTTTTTAATTTTTTATGCCTACAGCACCTTGGTCTTCCTAGGTGGTCTCCCATCCAAGTACTGACTAGGCCTGACCCTGCTTAGCTTCCAAGATCAGATGGGATTGGGTATGTTCAGGGTGGCATGGCCGTAGACTCTTTTTTGTTCTTTACAGAACTTTATCTATCATTTGTGGACTCCATATTATTCATGTTATTCTCATACCATATCTCATAATAGCTTGTAGATATATTAGTTTATAACATAAACTAGCTCTTTTACTCTGAAATTTGCCTGAATTGCAACATCTTCTTGGTCTCTACTTGGTTGACTAATATCTAGATGGTGCCCAAGTTTCTCCTTTTAACAGGAAGTAGCAACTCCCATTTATTGAGTGATTACTTTGTGCCAGGGATTACATGAAGTGATTAACATACAATATCACATTTATTCTCCACAGTAATTTTATGAGGTAGGAAGATTTAACATTATTACATATGTAAAACATATATTAGCAGTGGGTAAGTGATTTTTCTAAGACAGGGCTAGAGAATAGAAAAAATTTTTTTCCTAAAAATGGTTTGACTTTTATTTACTTTAAAAGCTAATTTCCAACAACTATTAATGGAAATCTGCTTTGGAGTGACATACAAATAATGTGTTTTTGCTATTTCTTCTGTCTTTATTATGCATAGGAATTCAACCTGATTGATAGAAGAGAACTTGCACCACTCCAAGAACTGATTGAAAAACTCACCTCAAAGGACAGATAAAAGGATGCAGAACTGTGCGGATTGTTCCTCAAATGAAGTTATATGGAATATATTTGGATTTTGTTGTATTTTTATCTTGGTTGTTTTGTCTTAAGTTTGGGGGGCTTGTTTGGGTTATTTTTCTTTATTCTGAATAAATGAAACCATATTCTATTGCTAGAGGAAGCCAAGAACCATTCTCTATACATTTGATAGGCATAAATTTTGTCTTAGTGGCATAGAGTATTTTTTTTAAACTTGGTTTTGATTACTTGTGTAATTTTTGATAATATTGTATGTTGAAAGAAAATGCTTACTGATTGGACTGCTGATGGATGGGGTTCTGTGTTGTAAAAATTGTGGCTGAATTTTGAAGTCCCCAAAAGACTTATGTTTTTAAGTGCCTTGGTAGGCTCACTTCTGAGGTGCAAAGCACAGACATAGAACTGACTAGGGCTTGAAACAATATTAAGGTTACTACCCAGGGCACTTGCTAATGCATGTTTTAAACTATCTATGATAAAAGCCATAATTTACCTAAATCAGTGATCTCCAGCTTTTACTACATTGAAGAAATATAATTTGTAAAGGTGTGCATGTAGAACATAAAAAATTAGTATTTCTTATTTTTTATATTAATGGTAATTCTGTTCAACACATGTTGAAAATTCTACAACCAGGTCTTTTTTCATCTCTTGATATATGTGATATTGAAACTTGAGGATGTTGAAATGTAATACCTATTGCATTTTGGCTTCTTTCTACATGTTAACTGCACTGTAGGTGTAGGTATTCAGGTTATATACAGGCTTGCCATCTTCAGATGTGATGCTGAACTGTGAGGTTTCTTAGCAATTGCCAAATGAGCCATAAGTCTGCAGAATTCCCTTTTACTTTGAAGAAGAGGGGATAGGAGTGTGTGTTTGGTTGTAGAGGGTTAGTTTATATGGGGATGTGGGGATGGAATTAAGTATGGGGAGTCAAGTTTAAAAAGGTCCTGTCTTAAAACTCTTGAATAGAATGGCATGAAGATTTTAATCAATTTGTTTTAAGCAGTCTTAGAGACTTCTTTTTAACAATCAACTTCCATGAGAAGTTAAAAATAAATGATTAATTTTAGGTATAGATATTAAATATGTAATCCAAGAACTGTTTGGGGGAAATTGACCACTTTCCAGCATTTCCATTCAGTGAATGGAGCTGGTGTTTGCTTGTCATTTAAAAATGATACAGTACCTTCTTTGCTTAATAATAGGCCCAGTTTGAAGCATCTGACTTCTGATTTTTTCACTGTGATAGAATACTTTGCAGTGATATCAAACAATGAAAGTGCTAATTCAGTAATTTTTACATTTTCCATGACTCTAGTGAATTACTCCCATAATAAAAAGTTCAGAAACTTGGTTTTTAAAATAAATATTAACATTTTCACTTCAGTTTTATTCTTGAGATATATCCTTTTCAGACTTCCAGTTTTAATTTTGTCATTTCTGGTAAATCTGTTTCCTTCATTTAGAAATATATACCTTTTTTCCTTGTAGAATAGAAATCTTGCTTTGAAATTGTATGCACTAAAAATACTTAGAAAAGAATCTAAAATGAAATCAATTTGTTTTTGCCATTAACAAGTAGAGCAGTGATACAGTTTAATGCCATTATAATTATGATCACTTGGAACTGCCTTTTTCTCCATTTCATTTATAACAGTCATTCGCCAAGTACCAACACAAGAAGTAATAGAGTCTGGCAGAGACAAATATATTGGACATTCATTGGTAATACTTGATGATAAACTGCAGTGAGTACTAGCTGATTTCCTTAAAAGAAAATCTTTTAGTATCCAAATATGTAATATCAGCCATCATGGGTTTTTTCAAAAATAAAATTTGGCTCGAAGTAATTTGGGGTCCTGTCTATTTAGGAAAATGAAGCACATGATTACTCAAGTAGTTTTTCATACTGCATTTGACTTTATATCAACTTAGTAACAAAAGGGTTGCAATAACCAAGTATAGAGAGAATAGTGAAAAATTGTTCTTGCTCTTTTAAGCCTTATATAGTAGTACACCATGAAAATGGAAAAAATGTTTCTATAAATTAGTGTTTAGTAATAGGACCTACTTTCCCACTGTATATGTATAGGAGTTTGTTGTCACTGTGCCAGAATCTCAGGTGCCTGCTTATGAGTGTTCCTTTAAACAGAGTTATCGGGAAGTAAGAAGTTATGTATGTGTATATAGGGTAACTAAGTAGAGAAGTTCTCCCAGGGAAAGGCCTGGCATTGCACATGGTGTTACATGGCTACAAGTAGGGAAACATTCACCAGAGCATGTGAGAAATAACTGATTTAATAAAAAATTGCTTTAATTCATTTGGTTCCCATGCGCGATAGTTAGATGCCCTTTACAAAATAAGGATCAAATCTTGGCTTTGCAGCAGAGCTTGCTTATAAATGCTATTGGATTCTTTCCAGATCTCTTTATTTAATTTATAAATAATCAAGATAAGAATCTCTCCCACCTCATTGTTTATACAGAAATATAAAGCAGAAGTTGGTTTTCTTTTGATAAAAGCATAAACTGTAAAATAGTAAGTTAACATAATATTATTGTCACAATGCTTTGGTTAAATATTGATATGAAGCAAGTTTTAGGAATTATTTTAAATGATGGAGTAATGGTGTTAGAACTTAATAACAGAAAGAGTGAAAATCTTTTAGTTAGCAGTAGGTGGTGCTACTGGCTTTCATTTGCTGACCTGATTATGCCATAAAACCCATGGCATTAGATGTATCTAAAACAGTAAGCATGTGTTAGTTGGTAGAGGCTTTGGAAGTCAGTTTACTTTAAATTGAAAGATTTCGGATTGCTGTTGTTTTTTACCTTTGTCATTTGTAGATTCTAAGTGGTCAGTATAAAATGTATTAGGAGAAGACATGTTTAGTGTATAATATATCTCAGACTGAGTTACTTCCTGATTTATCAAGAAAGGTAAAGCACTACAATTGCTTATATTCAGGAATTACAGATGATGTGGATATTTATATTTTACATATAATCACGAGACTCCATTTTATGTATTAGCATTTTCCTTGCTTATGGGGAAAGAGCAAAATGACAGATTTCTTTTATACTTCTATCTACACCCTCTCTGAGAGAGGTTTTTATAACCACTGAAATGGTAAAATATGTAACATGCAATTACTAAGTTGTAGGACTTTCTTTTAAGATAAATATATTACACCTTAAACATCCAAATGAGAGTTGATCTTCAGAGTGGTTCCTTTAGGAGGACTACTTATTCTAGCTATGCTGCAAAGGTATTGGAATGATTTTGGAATGCTTTCAAAGATGCCTTGAATATCAGGTTATGACTATGCAAGAAAATCTATTTCATCATTTTAGTTGTATCAGAATCTTTTTTGCAGCTTAATGTGACCTATTTCATTGACCAAACCAACTCTACTTTGCTGTTTTCTTAGAACTAAACCATCTGGGTAGTTCAAAAGAATGTGCCACAGGTTCTGAATTTGCAGAAGAGAATGTTTTGAGCATTGATAGCATCATTTAATAAAGGAATAGTTTCCTGATGTCACTACTTTGAAGTAGATAGTTTCATTTGGATGTATAGGTTTTATTTTTTAAGATTTAGTTTAATTACTTTACTGTTAAATAATAAAAAAAAATCAGTCTTTCTCTTGTTTTCTATTTTTTGTTCCTTTCCCTGATAACTTTTGAATTCAATCTTGACTACTGCAGGAGAGTTTTGATTTAAGGGATAATATGAAAAAAAATGGATCTAATATTTAAAATAGAAGCTTACCTCCATCCCTTTAAAAAAAATTTTTTACTCAGATGAACAATTTGAATTTAAAGACTGGAGATCTTTGTACAAAGAAATTGGAATAAATTTTATATATTAATTAGGCTGAGTTTCAAGCCTAGAGATCACAGATAAAATATTTAAAATTGTACAACCATTTTATGTATCATTTATAACTTTAAAATTACGAATGTCTTTTTAAAAGATACGGGACCAGAAGTATATTTGTAATTTGAAAATGTGACTACATACCAAGAAGAAAACTACTTATTTCGAAACTTACCTGGGATATTAAAGAATATACTAATTCTTAAAAATGCTATTCTAGATCTGTACTTTAAGCACCATTTCTAAAATAATTTAGAGTTTTGTTATAATCTTAAGATTCACTGTAGGAATTACTGTTGTTCATCTATCAGTTTAATAGTGTATGAGATAAATGCTTAGAGGTAAAGCCATCTAAAGATTTAATGGAAAAGTTTAAGGTATACTAACAATTCTGACTGCAGAATAATTCATTTTGAAGGTATAAAACTGTGCTCCATGTCTGCCACTTGTAGCTGAACTGATACTTAAATTTAGATAAAAGAAAATTCAGATTAAAATATTGAGTATTCTCAGTTTTGCTGTGTGATTGCAAGTTTGTTTTTCTATATGTAATACTATACAATAGAAAACTTTGGATTAGAATTTTCAAAGATAGATAGTGAAATCACTGGCATTTTCGAGCTGTGCGTTTACTTGTCATCTTCTCCTTGGAGGTAAATTATTTCCTTACTGCTATTGACTTTTCATATTACCCCCATCTCCCAATACACGTACTTGGAAGACAAAGCAGGTCGATTATTGATTATGCGGGTCTTCATTGTTAGTGCTTGCTGTCAATACACAGGTTTCAGCTGAAGTAGTAGAAGTTGCTACTTGCATAGGCATTTTTTTTTTTTTTTTGGATGACAGCATTCTTTAAATGTCACCGGAGCTGAGATGATTAATGATTTAAATTTAAATTTTTTAATATTTAATTTCTTTTATATATTAAATTCTTATGTGTGGGTGTTTCTTACTGATTTGCACGTTTTATTTCGTTTCTGAAATACTTAATTGTGCCAGTTGTAAAGCAGATTAGTGCATTTTCACTTTAAGAACACTTTTCCCCTTAAATTGTTCTGCCGACTATTTTTAGGGGAAATAGTTTTTTACAGCCACTGAATTATATTTGTTATTTTTGTACATGTATAACTTGGGTGGTAAGGGCACTAATCTTGTGGGGAACACTTTTGTTCTTTTTGAACTTGTCCTATACATTATTACTTAAAGTTATCTAGGAACAGTGTCATGAAATCTAGATTGAAAGAGAATACAGTAAACATGAGAACACTTAAAAGTTTAAATTGAAATCATTAATGGGACAAAAGCAGAAGAATACTGCCAGTGCCATATAATGGAAGCATAAGGGCAGGATTTACACTGTGTAATTATTGCAGAGAATTTGTAAAGAGGGGGATCTTGCTCTTCTGGAGATACATAGTTTTTATTAAAAGTAGCTGGAAAGGGAAAAATGGTCTAAAATATAAAATGTAACATGGGTGCAATACTGTAAACTGTGCCAAGATTACTCAAGTTATAGTTCTTGATCAAAGTCTGATGCCTCATTTTTATTTTAAAAGAGGATACTGAATATCAAACTCTGTAATATGTTTTAATTGAGGATGTAAATAATGTATACAGACTTGTATGTGATAGGATGAGAATATTTAAATTCTAGGTTTTTTTAAAGGAAGAAGCTGAATGTTTATTGCTAAAATTAATAAATAGTTATGTTTGGCCATGAATCCTGACTTTGTATTACCATTTATTTTATGGTAGACATTCCCACACTGAACTCATTCCTAGAGAAATACTGAAGGTACTTGGACTATGTTGAACATTTAAAATTTGTTAGGCATTTTTATATAATGTTCACAACAACCCTGGAAGTTAGTATCTAAGTGTCTTACAAACTAAAAAACTAAAACTCAGAAATTGTGCATGTTACTGATTAAGACTAGCGTTTAAAAACCCAAATATGCTTTGACCTTGAAGCCAATGCTTTTTTTTTTTCTTTAAATATACAGTTGTCCCCTCTTATCCTCAGTTACCCATCATCAACTGCAGTCTGAAAATATTAAATGGAAAATTCCAGAAATAGTACATAATATTTAAATTGCATACCCTCTGAGTAGCATGATGAAGTCTTGTGCTGTCCTGTTGCATCCTGCTTGGGATGTGAATCATTCCTTTGTCCAGCGTATTCACACTGTATTTGCTTCCAGCCCATTAATCACTTAGAAACGGTCTCCGTTATCAGATCAGCTGTGGAGGTATCGTAGTACTTGTGTTCAAGTCCCTATTTTACCTAATGGCACCAAAGTTTTAAGAGTAATGATGCTGGCAATTTGGTTATGCCAAAGAGAATCCATCAAGTGTATTAAGTGTCGGAAAAAACAGTATATATAGGCTTACGTATTATCCAGTGTTCCAGTCATCCACTTGGGGGTCTCAGAATGTGTCTGCTGTGGATACAATGGGACTACTGTACTATTACCATGAGAACAGTTAGCAAAATATTTGTTGACCTTTCCATCAAGCTAAGATTTTATCTAATTTTGTCTTCATTTTAGACCATTAAAGAATAAACAATCTTAGAGAATCTTCATTTTACCCTGATACCTAAGTTCCAAAAGGAAAAATGTTTTTAGAGCATTCTCAGAATATCATTAGAGTTATTTGTTTAGAGGGATGTGTTTGAACCACCAGGTTGAGAATATTTTGATGGTAGTAGCCATAGTTATCCAATGTCACTAATTGGTATTTGAGGAAAAAACTAGGAATAGAAATGCTAGTCCATGCTGATGTAGACTGTGTATGTTTTAATAAAAAACACCTTGTTATTCTGCACATATAGTAAGTATAAAATGTCTAAAGAAATACTCATAAAAATTATATTTTGATAATTAGGTTCATTTGTCTCGTAGTAAATTTAAGTAATTATTATATGTCTGGAATGATGTATTTTGGTAACAAAAAGGTTCTAAATAATTATTCCTTCAAGGCTTAACCATAATTAATAGATGTTTTATACTCTCTTACTTTGAACAGCATGATTACAGTGTACATTTTCTCGGTGACCTAGGTTAACCTTTACAAGCATGCAGCAAAATATAGCCGCCATTTCTAAGCTATATAAGGCTGATGGCTGGTTCCTGTGCCCTTCCAGTGTGTCATATTGCTATCACACTTCAGATTTGCTGGATGCACCCTGACTCCGCTCTTGCTTTTACGATGGCTTCTGTGTCCTTTTGTTTCCTAGGCAATAATGAAAGTCACAAGGAGAAGTTTATAACCAAGCTTATTAAGTTGATAATCATTTTATAGAAGTTGTTGGGTTGGTGTACACAAATGCACGGGCTGTGTAACCAACTTCTTAATGTTAAGGGCTCATTTTTTTCTGCCTTTGTTCTCATTTTCTGAGTTGGTTGTTTTCTTAATAAACCTGTATGTCTTCAGTCAGGACCCTGTCTCATTTTTTTAGTTACACTAGCATTCCCCCAGGAGAAAAAGAATTCTCAAATTGAAAGAGTAGTAAAATTTCTGGCAAGGAAAGGTTAAGATAGTAGTATGCTTACAATTGACTGGGTGCTCTAATCCTATGCCAAGTGTTCATTCAGTGCAAACTTAACCTGATTTGAATAGTCTTTTCACTTAATGTGAAAAGTCTTTGTTTTACTGTGAAATATTAGTGTATTTAATATCTCTGCAGGAGGTTGAGGGATGGTTATATAATGTATATATGACTATTTTCTAAAATCTAAAAAATTTTGAATTCTGAAAGATCTTGTTACATGGGTTTCAGATAAGGAGTTAAGAACAGAAATCAGAAAGGCACTTTTAAAAGTGCTATTCTCTGGTCTCTTCCTTGTGTTATCCACAGGTTATGTAGGAAAATGGAAAATTATGCTAACCTTGATGCTACGAGAGCGAGGTTCCCTGTTTCCCCCATTTATTTCATTTGTATTTTTGACGTGCAATCTTAAGCTTGGAGGAACTCAAGTTCTCACAGCCAGAAACTGGCAGAAGTGAGATTTCAAATCAGTCTTTAATTTTCTAATTCACAAACTTACTGTACTTCTGTAGTGTGTGTATGTGTATTTTGTGTCTGTGGAAACCACACTTGGTGATTCCTACTCCTCAACCCCAAACATCTTTATCAGATCCATATGAGACTTCTTTGGTTCCACTTTCCTCCTGTTTGAAGATCTGAGTCACACCCTGCCTTAACTCCTTTCTCAATAGCTGCCAGTACCCTTACCATTTCATGGGCTTTCCCCCAAGCTTGGATATGGAATAAAACACCGAGTAGCTTCCCCAGCTTCCTTGCCATCCCTGATGACAAGCATTCAAGACTTCTTTCATTTCAAGGATCCTGCTGCTAGTCACTACAGGGATAAACAAAAATAATATACATAAGAGCATAAGAAAATAATATAGGTAAATTACAAAGAACAGTTTTTGCTGTTTTTATTCTAGAGTTCTCCATGGAATCAAATTTTGATTTCTGCCTTTATTGAGAACGATTCACCATTTATCATCTTCTGACTCCACCTTTAGATGCACCGTAAATGTGACAATAGTTGCAAAGTAAAAAGGAATAACAGGGTCTTTGGTTTCTGCGGACAATTTGAACTCAAGAACTTCTAGACTGGGTAGTGTATTGATTACTAGGTTTTTACCATGATTAAAAATGAGTTCCTCTGAGTGTTTCTACACTGTATTTGTCCCCAGCTAGTTGAGTGTTCTAGCAGAGTACATGGCACATAAATAGACATTCAGAAATTTAACATACATTTGTTAACTCTGCCAGGTGTAGGACATGCAAAGTTAAACTATAGCCATGCTGAACAGAAACCTACCCAAGCATGGTAACTTGTACAAAGCATTGTAGATAAGTGGAAAATTTTTCCCGTCTTCACTTCAGGGTTCTTTGGCTAATCTATTAGATTGACATAAAACAGATTAACAGGAGAAAAACAAATTTGTATGGGTGTCCCATAAAAATGTGAGGCTGAAGAAGTGAGCAAAGCAGGAAGCTTTTATATCTTCTATTTAGATAAACTTGTGAAGAACTGACAAGACAAAGAATTTGGGCTTGGGGTAGTAAATTGGTGAAGAAAGACATAACAAGGTTTGTTTACACAGCCAGCTTTGCCCTAAATTTTCTCTCTGGTGATAAGGGTGCCTCTATCCTGATACAGGGAGGCTACCTTTCACATGGGAGATTTAGCTCCTCTCAGGGGAGACAAAGGAGGTTCAGAGTGTCCTTGCAACGGCTGTTTCTCATATACTTTTAATACAAAATCAATATGCCAAAGTGCATATTTTGAGTTGGCATATTTTGCTCCCCTTCAGCATAAACGGACATACAAACCAATGAAGAGGCATGATATATCAGAAAAGGCTATCTGTGGGGTGGCTTCTGACTACTTAAATTCTCACCCAAGTTCTACTTACTGACTTTGAACAACAGCCTCTCCCTCACTGACAAATGGGGCTGTGGAATCTCCAGCACTGGATTATTAAATTCATGAGAAGAGCTCGAAACAGTGCCTGGGTGATGGTCGTCTTCCAGGCTGAGAACATAGGGTAATCCGTTTCATTTTTCTATAACACATTACTTCTCCCCTGGCAAGTTCGAAGTTTCAAGTCCAGCCAATTCTGTCGAGACGCTCTGTTTATCTCCACAAGCCGTACTGGAGAGGCGAGTTCTCCAAAGCCCAGCCTGGCCTGCTCCAGGTGGCTAGAGCAGGCGACACCCTTTGCCGTCAGGCGCCCTCCGGCCTCGTCTGCTCTCCGACCTTGAGCGCTCGCCCTTGGTTCCCACAACGCCCAGGAATCGCAACCCGCGCTGGTATCCCGGCCAGAAGCGCGCCACCGCGCGCGCAGCCCCGCCCCCTGCTGCCGCGTGACCCGACGTGCCTGGCGCGCACGCAGAGGCCCGGGCCGGGGCCGGCAGCAGCCGAGGGGTCTGAAAAGATACTGCAGGCTTTGGAGAGGGTCGGGGCGTGGCTTCCCCGCTGGGCGGGCGGCCCCGCCACAGGCCCGCCCCCGTCGGCCGCTGCCTTCGCGCGCGAAAATCAAATTCGGAGACCTGGCGGGAGAGCCTCCGACCGACCCGAGTCCAGCCTGCAGGTGAGGCCGCGTTGGGCGACGGCGGCGGCCCAGACACCTGTGGCCACTTCCCAGACATCCCTGCCTGACGTGTCGAGGCCACCACGAAACGGGGAATGGCCACCCCACCGAAGAGGAGCTGCCTATCTCCTGTGACCAGCTCCGAGGGGACTCACATCAAGAAAATTTCCATCGAAGGGAACATCGGTAAGGAACCCCGGAAATTGTTGGGTCCATAGCAAGGAGAATCACGGCAGTGGCTGAAGTGCCCAGTTTGCGCGTCTCTGCGGTGCTCCTCAGCGAGGGCTTTCCTTCCAGTCTGGCCGTGTGGATGTGGCCTTGGCTTCGAATACCCTTCCCGCCAACAACATCCTTCCCTGCCCTCTCGAGCCTCCCTTCGATGCACCGAAGGTGGCGGCGGCCCCTGGGCATCCGGCAGCGCGGAGATCTCCTGGCCTGTGAGGCGCGCTTTGAGCCTGGTTCATCTTCTTGGCTAGGATCCCGCAAAGGGAAACGTATTTTTGTTTTGTTTTTGTTTTTGTTTTGTTTTGTTTCGTTTGAGGGGTGTGTGTGTGTGTTTGTGTGAGTGTGTCAGTACTTGGGGGTGAAATTTATACACGTTAAATTACCCTCATTTAGGTGTACTCTTCTATTAGCTTGACAAACATAATAATATCATTTTACCACCACCATCATCAGGATTCAGAACATTTCCATCACCTCAAAAGGTTCCCTCCTGCTCCTTTATAGTCAACCTCCTCTCCCTTCCTGTCCCCTAACAACCACTGATCTCATTTCTGTCCCTGTCAGTTTTGCCTTTTCTAGAATGTCATACAAACAGAATCATAGAGTATATAGCCTTTATGTGCCTTGTTTCTTTAATTTAATAGAATGCTTTTAGATTCATATTGCTTATTTAGGTAGTTTTTCTTAAATTGCTGAGTAGTATTCCACTGTATGGTTATACCGCAGGTATAACCTTTCCCAGTTGTGGACATTCGATTGTTCCCAAGTTTTAGCGATTATGAATAAAATTGCTATAAACATTCAAGTACAAGTAAAGAGTGTTTTAATGATCTTAACAGCATGAAGTTTTTCACTCCCTACCGTATATCCAAGTTATGATTCAAAGACTATTACTGTTTCTGTTCTTTCCCCAGATGTCATTTCTCAAGATGCATCTGAACTTCCTATTATATATTTCCTACCACAGGAAACCGATGCCTGCTACTTCCTGTTTTGAAAGAATTTTTTGGTTTTCAAGTTAGGTACTGTCTACTCATGCATACAGCAAATGTTTTTTAATTCTTGAATTCAAAATACTTTAAAAGGCAAGACAAACAGATGCTTTGGTAGCATTCCAAGGAATAGAAAAAAACTGAACATACCCTCAAAGAGGACATCTTGTTTCATTGCTCTAGTATTAAGGCACCAGTGGAAAAGATCCGTTTTCACTTGACTCTTGAATAATACAGATTTGAACTGTATGTGTCCACTTATACAGGGATTCCCCCCCTCCCCAATAAATACCTGTGCTGTTTATCGTCTGTGGTTGGGAGTCTGGATGCAGAGGGCTGACTGTAAATATTGATCTAAGCCATTTTATGTAGGGATTTGAGCATCCGTGGATTCTGGGTATCCGCAGGGGTCCTGGAACCAATGCCTTCTGGATACCAAGGGACAACTTAAATTTTTGAGGAGTCAAAAATTATACGTGGATTTTCTACTGTGTGATATCAGTGCCCCTAACCTCTGCATTTTTCTAGGATCAAATATAGTAGATTCATTTCCTCTTAGCAGGATAAGTTCTTTGAAGGTGTTTACTACTGATTCCTCACAGCTACTTTTTGGATAAAAAAGACTATGTATATAAAGACAGAAAGTTGTTGAACAAAGCCATTTCAAAAGTAAATTTGTATGAACAACCTCTCAGATCAGTATCACAATGAGTTAATTCCCTTCCCCTTTCTTAAACCCAGTTAGGTAACATAACCTATCTAGCAATTTACTTCCCTTCCAGAATCTTTCATTTTCCCACATTTGAAGTAATTTTCTAATGTCAGCCGATCTCCAGTTTCTCTTAACTACTTCCAGAGCAGTCTTTCTATGTACAAATGTATATTAGTCCCCCCTTATCCATGGTTTCACTTTTTGTGGTTTCAGTTATCTGCAGTCAACCATGGTCTGAAAATATTAAATGGAAAATTCCAGAATAAACAGTCCATACTTTTAAATTGTACACCATTCCGAGCAGCATGATGCAATCTCATGCTGTTCCTATTCATACCCCCAGGATATGAATCATCCATTTGTTTGGTGTAATTGTGCTATATATGCTAGCTGCCTCTTTAGTCTGTAGTAGCTATCTTGATTATCAGTTTGACTGTCATGGATCAGAGTGCTTGTGTTCAAGTACCCTTATTTTACGTAATAATGTCCCTAAAGCACAAGAATAATGATGCTGGCAATTTGGATATGCCAAAGAGAAGCTATAAAATGTATGTATGTGTAGGAGAAGACAGTACAGCTGACCCTTAGACAATACGGGTTCAAATAGTATTTTTGATCCACAGTTGGGAATCTGCGAATGTGGAGGGCTAACTGTATGCATTTTACTGTGCCATTTTATATAAAGGACTTGAGTATCCTCAGATTTTGGTTTCCATGGGGGTCCTGGAATAGTTAAATTTTTAGGGAGTCAAAAGTAATAGATAGGTTTTTGACTGCAGAGGTAGGGGATCGGTGCCCCAAATTCCCACACTATTCAAGCGTCAACTGTATTTATAGGGTTTGGTATTATCTGCAATTTCAGGCATCCACTGGGCATCTTGGAAAGAATCCCTTGCAGATAAAGGGGGACTAGTGGTATTGTGTTAGCATCTGCTTAAAATTCTCTGACTTCCCCCTTACCTACACTGGAAGGAGTTGCAAATTGATAGCCTGCATTTGTACAATATTGGCCTACACATTTGAAAAAAAAGTTCAGTTAGTTGTTAGTATTAAAATTTTTTAAGATTCTCATAAACTGAAGATTCTTGACTTCTCTTGAAAACTATGAAGATTTGGTAACACTGGGCCTATGTTTCTTCTGTAAGACAACAATTTGATATTTAGATGGGATATGTTCCTTACCACTTATTGTCTTTCCTGACACAAGTTTTGTCTGTTACTGCTCTTGCACTGTTGTTCATATGTACCCTCTACCTTATTTGTCAGCTATAAATGTACAAATTGCTAATCTTTGTGTAAAAGACTATTTTCTGATTCCTCTATTCTTCCTAGAATTTGAAACTTAACTGGTCATTTTAATTTTATATTCATTTAACCCATTGTCTCGTGTTCTTTTGTTATTAAAATGCTCCCTTATGTTAGATTTATGGAGGCTTTACTTGTTTCCCTCATTGCAATAATCTGTACAGAACTTTTGGCATCGTAGTGCCTACTTGGCATTAGAACTCTTGTTAGGTTCTGTGACTTTTTAAAATATTAATATCAGTGTCCTTGGTTCTTGTTCTCCTTTGCTTTCATAGAAAACTAATTTATTAGTTTATTTTCTAGCTTCCCATTTCTTCCAAAAAATGTAAGGAACTGGATATTAGTCAGACTTGGAATTATAGATAATTGTTGTTACTCTGCTTGAATTAAATGTAACTTTTACTACTTTAACATTTCAAAGTATGACTACATAAACTTTTTCTGTTTGTAGGCAGTATCAGAAGAAAGCTGAATGCTCTAGGCTTAGGTGCTTTTAGACTCTAACTGATACCTGATTCTTTAATATGTTACTTGGGTGTTTTTTTCTGAACATCATGTTTTCCTTTCCTTCTTCATCTAGCTCGGTGAATGTCTGGTGATCATTTTATATGCTTCCACTTATTATTTTTCTAAATGTCTTACACTTCCTGTGCTTACTCTCTCCACACAAAATCTGTGGTCACCAGTGTTTTCCCCATGATTAGTTCTAATGGTCATCCCATTTATCCTTAAAAGTTTTTCTCCTGTCTTGTGGTGATAATATGACTTTTGTATTTTGCTTCTCACCTCTTCTTTGTGTGTTGTTACCTTCTTATTGATCTCCAACCACCCCCCCCACCAGCCTTTTCCCTCTATATGTGATCTTTTAAAGTTCTTCCAGTTTTTCTTTTTTCTATTGCCCTTTCATGTCCTAGATTTGAATATAGATCTATAAGTCAAAAGTAAGTTCTTTTTGCCCTCTTTGTATCCAGTTTATAAGGAAGAGGAGGTTTTGCTTACAAGCATACAGAAGTTGCTTTTTATATGTTTATGTGTGTATGTATGTGTGTGTGGAGAGAGAGAGAGAACACATTATGCTGACTAGAGATGTCTAGCATAACCACATTTGGTGACTTCAGATGGGAAGGGTGTGGTGTCATTGTCATTGCTACACCCTGTTAAATCTAGGTCAGGACTTTTCCTATTACTAAATAAAATGTATTCCGGGATAATTTAAAAATAGTGAACATAATATGTTCTGATTACACCTGAACTATCCCCATCCCCAATATCTCAGAAACTAATGAATAAGCAGGGAGAAGTAAAGTACGTATGACTTTTTAAAAAAGGGTTGGTTAGAATGCACACTGTACAAGAATCATGAAAGCGAAGCAGAGAAAACATGGCTATTGCTTGTAGGAAGTGCTTTGCAAAAAATATTTTTATAATTCCTGTTAGCCACAGCGCCATATGATAATTAGTGTCATAATAATCATGCTATTTCCCATTCTAAAACTTTAGGCATTGGATATACATCTTTATATTAATTTTATAGTTTATTTGGTTGTTTCTAAATTAGTTTTAGAGAAGAAAGACCTGAGCTTGTTTTTAAACTGAGAATGAAGCCAATAGAGAGGAAAATTTTGAAAATGTGAGAGCCTAGAATGACTATCACTGTGATTGCTTATCACAGCACTTTCCATGAAGAGGATGTTATGATTATCCCCATTATGTTATGAGAAAACAGGCTCAGAGAGGTTCAGTGACTTACCCCAAATCACATACCTCATTAAGTGGAAGAATAGTCTTAACCACTTCCCACAAAGTTTTCTCTCATTGCTTGGATAAGGAAAATGAGTGTAGGACTAGGATTCTTTTCTGCCATAACATCTTGCATAAAATTCCACCAGGTTTTTAATTCTCTTCTATGGTTTTGGTAAACTAAAAACAGTAACAAATGTTAAAGGTAAGAGAATTGAATGTTTTGTTTTTTTGTGTTTGCTATTGATGAGAATATGTTCTGAGAAATATGTTATTAGGTGATTTTGTCATTGTGAGACCATCATACAGTGCATAAACGTAGGTGGTATAGCCTACTATACACCTAGGCTATATACTATAGCCTACTGCTCCTAGGCTGTATGCCTGTACATGTTACTGTACAAAGTGACAGGAGAATAAATCAAACACCAGAGAAAATCATGCATTCAAAAGATGTGTTAAACACAAGATTTAGTAGGCTGATGCCAGCATAACACGGCATCCCATTTTTCCTTTTTTTAATAAGTAGAAAAAATATACTCTAAAATAAACATAAAAAGTATATATAGTAAATACATAAACCAGTAATGTAGTCATTTATTATCATCAAGTATTATGTACTATACATAATTGAATGGCTATACTTTTATATGACTGGCAGTCCAGCATCACCATAAACATGTGATTAATGCCTTGGGCTAAGATGTTAGGACAGCTATGTGTCACTAGGCAATAGGAATTTTTCAGCTCCATTACGATCTTTAGAGAACCATCACAGTATATGTGGTCCATCATTGACTGAAATGTTGTTTTATGCCATGCATGCCTATAAATTTTGAAAAGTTGATGACTAGGCTCTTTTTCTGATAAGTTTCCTTCCTCAGTTTTACTTTTCCTCTCACAATAGCTGCAGGGAAGTCAACGTTTGTGAATATCCTTAAACAAGTCTGCGAGGATTGGGAAGTGGTTCCTGAACCTATTGCCAGATGGTGCAATGTTCAAAGTGTTCAAGATGAATTTCAGGTATGAAAATAAAATTTAACTAAATAAAATGAAAACCATTTGGAGAAGCAGTAGTATTTAATCTCTTGGGTTTTGTGTTTGCTTGTTTTTCCTTTTCTAATAAAACTTTATAATCTTGCTTTAAGTCTGTATCTTCACCTGGGCAGTACTTACACGGATGTCTATATATATGTTGAACTATGCACTAAAGATTTATACGCTTTATTGTGTCTAAGCAGAATTTGAAAAGTTTTCAAAAATTAATTAAAAAGTTTTAAAAAATCTAATTGCAAGTTAAATTTCTTGAGCAGCTTTTTACATTTTGTTTAAAAACAAGCAAACCAGGAAAATAAAAACAACTACCCAATAACTGAATTTTATTAGTTTATCTTTCTAGCCTTTTGTCTTAGAACCATTTCTCTCCTATTTCTTCACACTGTCATTCTTGCCGACTTTCACCGTGGACACAAGTTTCAATTTCTCAGCACTTTTCCATCTTACATTGCAACTGAGAAAGAGGGAATAACAGTTGAATTTCAGTTTTTATAGCAAAAAAATTTTTTATTGTATATGTATGAAGGAGAGAGATCTGATAAGATTTTCATTTCTGGAGAACTGAGAATTGAAATTGAAAGCAGCATAGCAGAAACCTTCAAAATGGAAATGTGTGCTAGAAACTTAATTTGTTAAAGATTAGGAGCACAGGGATTTGGGGAAAAAAATGTCTATTTTTTAGAGTTTAGCTGTTGGTATGAGGAATCAGAGAATAACAATTGAGTATTTAAAATGTAATATATACAAGGAGGAGTCACTTGCAAGATAATCTGTAGACTATTTTGAATAGCCAAAAATATTTTCTCACACACCTATTTGTTTTAAAGTGGATAAATTTGCTGCTTTCTTTCAACATTTTTTATTGGCATGATATAACCATAGAAAAGTATATGAAACCTTGTACAGTTCGAAGAACAATTTTAAGGCCAACATTTTTGTTACTGTCGTCCAGGGCAAGAAAGAACATTGCTATCATTCTAAAAGTCCCTGTTTGTCCTTCCCAAGTCACAATATCTTATTCCTTGGAATAACAACTCTACTAGGAATAATCTCATAAAATAACTCCTGTGATAATAATTTTCCTACTTTCTAAAAATAATTTGATCAAACATATCTCTAAGCAATAGAACTTAGTTTTGTCTGTTTTTGAATGTTATATAAATGAAATGAACTTTGCATTCTTTTTCTTCTTGTGTCTTTTGCCTAATAAGTTTATGGAAATTGTCCATATTGTTACATGCAGCTATAGCTTGTTCATTTTCATTGCCATATAGTATTCATATATCATTTGTCTGTTCTATATGTGATCAATTTTTGAGTGGTTTTTAGTTTAGTTGCTATAAAAACAGCTTTGCTGTGACCATGAATCCTGGTACACACATACAAGAGTTTCTCTAGGAATAAGAAGTAACATTACTGGGTGGTGGAGTATGTGTATGATGCCTGTTTTCCAAAGTGTTTTTACCAGTCTACATTCTCTACAGTGTACCCAGCTGTCATAAGTCTTTATCTTTGTCAACATTTTTAGTATTGTCCAGCTTCCTAATTTTTGTCATTCTGTTTACTGTTTAATATCTTTTATGTTTTTAATTTGTATTTCCATGACTGATAATGAGATTATTTTAATTAATTAATTTATTTGCCATTTCTTTTTTTGGATTTCTTTTGTAAAGTCCCTGTTCAGGTCCTTTTGCCCATTTTCTTTTGGGTCTTCTGTCTCCCCACACCCTGCATTTTTACCTCCCAAAGTATGTCTCATGGCCTTGCTTACCTTTAGAAATGAGAAACATATGTTCTAAAAATACCTCTTTTCCCCCCATTCCTGGGATCAACTGTCAGTGCAGTTATTCTCAGGTGTTAGGTAGAAAGTAACCAAGTTAAACCAATGTCAGAACTACAGAAGGGATTCCAGTGTTAGACTAGATTGGATTAGATGAATTCTATTTAAGGTCCATTCTAGTTTTAGTATTTTGAGCTTCTAACTCATATTAAATATGTGTAACTTTTATTGGTACATTAAATGTCCACCTCTCAGCGTACCTCGCATTAACCAATGGTGCAGAAACAGATGAAATCCAAAATGCCAAAAATATTAATTTGCAAAGAGAAATGTAATTATCAGATTCACTGAATTAGGTCACTCCATTTTCTATGTAGGCCCATAATTCACAACCAGTGGAAAGGACTTTTAAGAATCTGAAGGATTTGGGGTGATTTTAAAATAACAAACAATTCCTTGAGAATTTAAATATGTGGATGCCTCCTGATTAAAATGACTGCTCTAGTGAATCACTGTTAGTGTTAAAGTATATTGAATCCTTTAGTTAAATTGGAGAGAAGAGGTTGAAAACATTGTATTAATATGGGAAGACAATTTAAATAAGAAAGTTGTCTGTTAAGCTTTGAAACAGAGAACAGGGAGTTAGTTATATTATCTCAATGACTGATGTTATCAGACCATGACACATTGATGCATCTGTCTCCATTTTGAGACTGTATTGGCATCATGGATCTGATACTCACGTTTATGGGCTGGGCTATTTTCTTCCTGTGTACTAGAGTCAAAATTTCAAACTAACCTTTCTTTAAAACTACCATGCAGATGCTTTTATTATCACTAACATATACGTTCATCAGTTTACTGTAATCTAGTCATCTCTTCATGCTGTTAAATGTGGTTACCTTCATTGGATTTTGGGGCATATTCTCTAATAGCTTAATTTTGTGTGTGCTACTGTGTTGTAAATCCTCTACTTCCAGGTGTAAGGATAGTATTTGGGAGTATAAGGTTGTGGGGTGTGAGGTGGTGGTGAGTGCGTGGGTTCCCTGTATCTTTGGATATTTTCTTTTTTCCTGGACCTCCACTAAACTCGAGAAATGAGATTTTCTTCCTTCATCCTGGATCCCTTCTTCAGACCCATCCCTGATGTAATCCTTGGGGTTATAGTGTGAATCACCCACTGTCCAAAGCTCAACTTTCTTAGATGACTCTGTCAATAGTGAGAAGCAGACTATCTTCAGACCCAACCCTTGTGAGGCCAGTCCTACTTTGGATAGTCTCCATTTAATCACACCTCTTGGCAGTTGCTGTAGAATTGGAAGAATTGGGCTGTGATACCTTTGTAAATAAACTTGCCACCTGCATGATTAGCTTGGGGTTTTTTTGTTTTTTGTTTTTTGTTTTAGGTTTTTTTTTTTTTTCTTAACCTGCCATCTAGTGGCTGAAATATTGCTATACTATTGATAAGTTGCCACCAATTTTAGCAAAATAATGAGGCTAAGTATCTAAAAAGATGTAATCTTCCCTCCCTTCCTCTCCCAAGGTAAGATTATCTTTAAAACATACCATTCAGATAATTATCAGTCTTTATATTAAAGGTTTATTTGGTGATTTATGTTATTACTTAGGCCCAAAGCTTTGATTTGGATTTGATTGCTTCTTTTTAGCTTATTTTTGAGATATACATACTGTTAGGTATCCCTGCTCTCTCCTATTTTCTCATTGAGCAGAATTCTTTGGAGGAGCTTTGTTATTAATTGTGAAGTACTATTTTACCACTAGGAAGCCACCGAAAACTTAGTAACTAAGAAAAAGAAGGGATAAAATATACTTGTCGGTGAAACAACATTATAATTTTTGAAAAGTCATTCTTGGAAATTATAAAGAATACTTGATAAAGTACTTCCACTCATACCTTCTGAAATCACTTGATAACTTTCGTTGGCTATTTTATAATTATCTTGTTTGGTGGATTCCGATTCGTTTTGATTGAACGTAATTCAGCTCTTGTGCAGTGTTTGCAGAGATTGGTCTAGAATTAAAAGGTAAGTGATTTTGTATCTTGATATTTTTGGTTTGTCTTTCTGTATATTGGCAATAACATGTTTTGTGTAAAATGTTCTGTCATGAAGTGAATTATAGATATGAATTACAGGAACAGAATAAAAGTTATTCATAATCCTCCCTTGTGTTTAGGCAAGAGAGATTTATTGCGAAATCCAAATAAAAGATGTGTGATCTTTTCTGTGGCATTAACTTTTTTTATTGTGGTAAAAGCACATATTATAAATTTTACCATCTTAACCATTTTTAAGTACAGTTGAATAGTGTTAAGTATATTTACAAAGTTATAAAACAGATCTCTGGAACTTGTAGAGTTGTAGAACTTGTAGAACTGAAACTATATTCATTAAACAATTCTCCTTTGTCCCCTTCCCCCAGGCCCTGTTAATCACCATTCTATATTCTATATCTGTGAATCCAGCTACTTTAGATAGTTCATATAAGTGGAATCATTGGATAGAACTGAGTCACATGGCCACAATTAACTACAGAGAGGCTGAAAAATAAAGCCTAGTGGTATGTCCAGGAAGAAAAAGAACCTGGTTTTAGAGAACATATAGTAGTATCTGCCACACACATATTTCTAAACAAAAGTAAATTTATTTAAATTTATTTTTAAATGTAAACTCAAAAAGTACCATGTTTAACTACTTTATGTGGAAGTTGTTGAAGTTTTATTTTAAAATTAATGGTTATGTTGGTGAGGTATTTCTGTAGTAAAAACCATCATTTGTGCAACAAAGCCCAGATGATAAAGACAAAAATTGTTTTTCATGGTTAGTTTTATTTTAAAAAATAAGTCAGATGTATTTTTGCTAGTGAATTTATGTTGTTACATCATTAATGAATTCTCTATTGTATGTATAGTTATGTAAAATTATCCATGTCTACAATAAAATTATTAAATTAAAGAGCACTGGCACCAAGTTAATCATCCACATAGTATCCAAATATCTCCCTTCAATAAATCAAATGTAACTGTTGTTTACTTTATAATTACAGTGTCACTATTTGATGGCAGTGAAACATGTTGGAAAGAATATAGCTTTGAACCAGTTTTAGGTGTGAATCCTAGCTTTGCTGTTTACCGTGTACCGTGATATTAACAAATTATTCAACCTTT